TTTCAGGTAAAATATATCCAATCTAGACTTGCAGAAATTCATAAAATTATAAGTAGGGACTATTAAAGTACCAAAAATGCATAATTTCAATCATCCACGCACTCACTATTGTTAAAACATGAAGTGAAAACAGCCTCTCTAAGGTCTTTCGATTGCCACAGGTGGTGGGCCTACAGGTTTTTGTTCCAGCGGGTCCCAGTCTCACCATGTGGTCACACCTGCAGCCTGAGCTCCCGCCCGTCACACCACTCCCAGGACCGTGAGCTGCCCCAGCTCTGTCTGTCCTTTCTGGCCTGCACAGAACTCCACACCTCTCTGTTAGCCAGCTTTTTGTCCCTGTAACAAAGTACCTGAGAAAATCAACTTATGCGCAAGAAAGGTTTATTTTGGCTCACAACTTCAGAGGTTTCATTCCCTGGTCACTTGGCCCTGTAGTTTCAGGTATGTGGTAGCATAGGTCTCAGCAGATTTCATGACAAAGGAAGTCTGTTCACCTTATGAAGGCCAGGAAATGAGAGAGAGGAAGGTCCTTCAAGGGCAGACCCCACAACCCAACTTTATACTAGAAGCCCCATCTCCTAAGGTTCCACCACCTTCCAGTATAGCCACAGGTGGGAGACCAACCCATTAACGCATGGGCCTTTGGGGAAACATTCAAGGTCAAAACTGTAGAATCTTCCCTGTGGCTTCCTTCATGGCCTTCCTATTCATGCACAGCCATGTGGGTCCCTGGGTATCCTCGCCTTTCTCATGTCAAACACTGCACTTTGAGTTTCCTCCACTCTTACTGACCCCTCAAAAGCAGAAGCATAGGAAGAAAACCAACACTAAGCAAGGCCCAGATCCTCCATGAAAATCTGCTTCCTTCTCCAACTACCATTCCACTATTATCAGATCCACAGGTCCCACAGAGCTTCTGAAATGTATAACATGAACAGACCATGCTCTCTCACTAGTACATCAACTCCAGCTGCTCTTGGTGGTCTAGTCTCACCTGAAATCTCATTCAGAAGAACAGGATTGCAGAAGTCAAAGGCTGGCAGCAACAAAATGCCAAATCTCTTCTTTTTTAAATCACAGTCCAGTTGACCAATTAAAATTATATGTACTTGTAGTGTACAATGTGAAGTGTTAATACCCATATCTGTTGTGAAATGGTTAAATCAAGTTAATTAATATGTCCATTGCTTCACATGCTTATACTGTTTTGTTGGAAAAATATTTCAGATCCCTTGTCTTAGAAAGTTTCAAGTATATAATAACGCATTATTTTTAGCTATGCTTACATATTGTACAATAGATCTTTCAAACTTACTCCTATCTAACCGAAACTTTATACCTTTGGACCAGTGTCTCTCTATTCTTACACACAGGCCTCCTCTCAGCTCCCGGAAATCACCATCTCACTTTCCGCTCCTATAACTTCCATTTTTAGGGTCTGAATCATCTGAATCTGCAGTGTAGCTTTGTGCATCCTTTGGGGTACCCTAGAGAGGTCAAGCAGAGGTACCCCCACTCCTGCCACCCAGAGGCCTGCAGAGTGTAATCAAAAGTGTGTATGATTCCTTCTTTAATTCAAGAATTTCCCTCAGTGTGATCAAGCTCTGTGTTGGCAGCTAAGAAAGCCACAGACATCTGGAGAGTTATTTTTCTCCTTTTGTCACAAGATGATGGAGCTAATCTGGATGGGAAGTGTGCGGGAGAGGAGGGACAAACACTCACCACCCTCACCAGATCTGGGCAAGGTGGCTCCCAGAGCTTCCTTTGGTGTAGGTCAAACACCCAAATAACTCATGATTCTATCCCTTCCACCTGACGAGAAAACACAGGATCCTCTCAACAAAACTCTGAAGGTGTCATAAAGAAGGATCAGATTTCAAATCAACCTTGTTGTTTTTAAGAATCATTACAAAGTATTTAATCTGGGCCACATTGTTTCCAAAACCTGAGAAATCCATAAAACTCTAATATAATTTTTCAAGTATGAAGTCTAGCCAAGAAAATTATTTGAAGTTAATTCCCTCTGCTTTGTTGATGACTGTTGAACTAAAAAAAAAAAGCAAAAACGACTGAAATTGTTTTTATAAAATGCTTGCAAGTGCCCTGACTAGGAATATACCTGGCTGGAGGGAGAGTTATTTTTTAGAATTTTCCACTTGCTGTTTTAAGAGAGCTCATAAAGTTAGAGGTTAACCTACTCTTTAGAGAAGAGATATTAAACATACTCTAAATTAATTCAAATTATATAAAGAATACACACATACAACATTAAATTCATAATATACTGCTTACATTTATTATTTAAAGTTGTTTATGGGCAATTAAAGTTTTTCTCTACACAATGCATATTTTCTAGATGTCTTCTGATTGTAATACATCACAATATCCAGTTCAACAACTAACCATTGAGCCCTGTTATGTGCCAGGTGGGTGACACTTGGGTATTTGTTTAGTTCAAAATGGAGTGGTTCTTGTTAGCTAAGTTCTAGGCAGACTTCTCATTTTTCTTCACTGTTGCTAGCATTCTATGACAACAGTACAAGCACTTACTTCTGCAATGATTAAATGAGAGAGGCAGGAAGAGTCCATTTCATAAACATAATTTTATTTTTAAACTCAAAATCTAACACCCTTTTTCAACTATCCAAGTGCTTTCACTTAGCTTGCAACTATAAAATATATCACATAGAAGAGATCTGAAAGAATATGCAAATACACATCGGAGTAGGGTGATATAATCATTTTTATTCCGTATTTTTGCTACTTTTAAGATACTATATTTAAATGAAAAATAAATGTGCTTTCTTATTAATAAATAAGCTTACTTCTTAACTGTTGTCTAATTATTTGCCTTATACAATTTCACCTTTTTTTTGTACTAAACTAATAGTGTAAGGGCTAAATATGACATTGGTACCTTTTTTAATATTTTCCTTTGGGCTCATAATCGCCTACAGTTATCAGAAACTCTCTTGGATAATCTCTCTCCCTTCAACCAACTCTAAATGTTTGAATCTGACTTTTCTTTGATTCTGCTTCCAAAACCGTTACCTTTTTTCATCCCAATAATTGGAATTTTTTAAAGAATTTGTTAAATATTTTTGGCAATATATTTATTTCCTGTATGATTTTGGGTAAACTTGTCTATTTCTCTAAACCCTGACTTTAACTCTGGATTAATTTTGTTGAGCAAACCAATAAGCACCTGGGCATCTGGCTATGGGTGGGTGGAGGTTACTTGCTAACAGATGACAGCTCTAGAGCTACCAGCAACCTTTTCCTTACTGAGGAATGATGAAAAATAAATTTTAGGTATATATTGCCCTCCACTTAGGCACTTAAATATTGATAAAGGAGACCAGTAAAATGGAAAACAAAAAATTCACCAAAATATTTTCTTTCTAACTGAATGAATAGCCTGTTAATTTCAAAGATATTCAAAAAAGAAAGAGATGCATGTGGAGTGAACTATTTAGGTACCACCTAAGTCTACAAGTTGGTAGAAATTTGAAAAGACCTGCAGGTTTGTAAAGGGTAAGAACACTTTTATGCAGGGACAATCTTATTCATAAAGTTGATTACTGGAGATGCTGTCTGGTTTCTGTGGTGTCAGCCAGCCCCCTGACTCTTCTGAGCCTCTTTAGTGCCTAGTATTGAGTGAGTTTCCCCCTTGAGTTGGGTATGGCCATCTACGACATCCTTTATAAAAGTAAGATATTCCCAGCAGTTACTCATACCAAACTCAGTCCACCTTGATGATTCTGCCCATGCCTCTGCTATGGAGGACCAAGAACTTGTGGTTCATCTGAGGTTGAGTTGCTCACTGTGCCAAAGGCCTTTACAGGAAAGGCAGGAATGCACCTGCCTTTTTCACTTATAGACATCATAATATCCAATCAGCCTTTAGACATATAGGTCACTCTGGAAAAGATGACAAAAGCTATGGATCATCTTCTGAGACCCATGCACAAAGCTAAAGCATTAAATACAATTCATGGAGTTCACAAACTCTTAAAATCTACCTAGAGGAGAGAGGGTGGTTAAGGGGTGCAGGGGTGCAGTTGTATGGGACAAATCACTTCCAATGTTCTGACATACAGTAAAAGAACTACGGTGGGTGCTGACTGAATATTCCAAAACAGCTAGTAGAGAAGATTTTAAATGTTCCCAACACAAAGAGACAGAATATGTTTGAGGCAATATACATACGCCAATTACCCTGATCTCATTATATATTGTGTACATATATTGAAATGTCACACTATACCCATGAATATGTCAAATTATTCTGTGTCAGTTAAAAAGACTTTGGGGAGGGCACCAGGAATCAAACTCAGGACCTCACGCTTGCCAGGCAGGCACTGCACTGCTGAGCTAAATCCCTGGCCCTAGAATTTGTTTTAATTAAAAATTTGTCTGTTGAGCCCAGATTAAGAATCCCTGTTCACTGGACAAATAAAACATTGCTTTTAGTGTCTATGGTGCTGAGATTAAGAAATGCGAGGGAAGCTGCTACTGTTCGCCTTTGCTTTCTTTTATTTATAGTCCATCCACTCAACTTCTGCACCTGTCCTTTGTCTCCATCTCTTACCATTTATAGGTGGACAGAATCATCAAAGGGATGACAAAGAATTGTCAGTGAGGAAAAGGAGACTCATGTGCTGCTGTCATCCGGTGTATTTCCAGGTGCTGTAATTAACAGCCACCTGTAGTCAGAAGAGGCTAGTTCTGTGGGTGACAGTGGAGAGAATGTGAGCGATGGATGTAACGTTGTAGAGGGAACATGACTTCAGCCAGCTCTTCTGTGTGTGGTAGCTGCATATCAGACCATGTGCCCTGGTCACTAAGTTCTTTCTCTTGAGCTACTTGTTCCAGTCACTTGGGAAGCTGAGGTTGGAACATCACTTGAGCTCAGGACTTCAAGGCCAGCATGAGCAACACAGTGACACCCTGTATCTTTAAAAACAAAACAAAACAAGAAACCCTTCACGAGGCAAAAGTTTGGACTAATGGAAATTTATTTCAAAGTCTTTCACTTCTTTGGCATGAACTTCCAATGGAGAACAGGACTGTCAGGATTCCAGAGTTGAGCTACCTTGGTTCCTTTGAGAAAAAAAAAAAATTAAAGAATTAATTCACCCCAAATATTCAATGAGTTGCAGTTACTTCTGCAAAGGGAGTGTGTATTTTGCAGAGACAGCACTAGATCTCATGTCTATCCATATCTCATGAAGCCGAGAGAGACTTTTTACCTGCCCTCCCTCTTTCTCTGCATAACTGACCCTGAGGTACATAGTAAGCTTTTATCCTCAGGTTCAGTATCCAGGGATTCAACTTATGGTAGATCAACTTATGGTAAAAAAATATTTTTTTAAAAATTTGCTTCTGCAAGATAGACATTTTTCATATCATTATTCCTTAAACAATACAGTGTAACAACAATTAACATAACATTTACATCATATTGGATAGCATAGGTAATCTAGAGATGATCTGAAGTATATAGAAGGTTGTGCATGTACATACTATGTCATTGTATGGGAGGGCTTGAGCATCTGAGGATTTGCTAGAGTTCTGGAATGAATCTCCCATGGGTATCAAGGGACAACTGTATAAAGTTATGTTACTTTCCTCAGGCATATTCATCACTGGTACATCTGCTCAATAGCAATAAGATATCTCAGTTTTATTCTTAGGTTGATTCTTGATGATTACACAGACATCAAATTCCATCACAATTCCTCAGATATCTAATCTTCTAGTAACTATTCATTGCATTATCAACAAGTAGTTTTCCATTCATTTCTTTTCTTTTTTTTTTTTTTTTTTTGGTTTTTCTCCGGTACCGGGAACCGAACTCACGACCTTGGGCTTTCCAGGCAGGCGCTTTGCCGCTGAGCTAAATCCCCAGCCCCTCCATTCATTTCTATTTCAGTTCAGTAAATGTACAGATTAAGAGAACGAGTTCAAGCCAGACTCCTGAGTCCAAATGCCCCTATCAATATTGTTCTGTGGTTTGAGATAAAGGCTAAACCCCTCTGCCTGTGTTTTCATTTATACAAACAGTCATCCCTTGTTACCATGGGGCATTAGTTCTAGGACCCTCATGGATACCAAAACCTGAGAATTCTCAAATTCTTTACAGGATTTACATGTAACCTATGCACATCCTCCTCCTGTATACTTTAAATCATCTCTGGATTACCTATGATACCTAAAACAATGTAAATCCTGTGCAAATAGTTGTTATACAGTGTTGTTTAGAGAATAATGAGAAAAAAACCTGTGTATATTCATTAAAGGCACATTTTGCCCATGAATATTTTAGGTATGTGGTTTGTTGAATCCTTGGATGTAGAAACTATGGATATAGAGGGCTGGATGCATTTTTAGTCTTTTTGCTTAGAGTGCTGCATTCCCAGTACCCACAAGGTATGGAACACAGTAGGCCATTAACTATTTGTACAATAAATGTTCTTGAGTTGACTGCTGGGAAAATTACCTACTGATAAATGTTCACTGCACAGTTATTAAAATAAAATGCAAACTCCCATGGTGTACTGGGAAAAGTTTGGACTAATTTAAATTTGACTTCAAAAAAGGCATGTTTGTGGAGGAACATCCTTATTATTATCTTGTCCACCTCAGACATCAGGGACAACTTCGAAAGAACATTGTGTTCATTACATTTTCCATTTGCTAGTAAGAGACCATACTAACAGGGCAAATAACTATGAAAGGTAGCAAGCACCAATAATCAGGTCTCGGTAACCTCAGCAGCCATGAGTGGGCAGGCTGCATGGAGAGACCTGGCACTCTGGCCTGGCTTCATTCTGGGCAGAACTTGCAATTCAGGAAGCAATCCTCTGTGCAAGTGCCAGCATGACTACTGCTTAGCAGAGACCATTTTCTTGGGTCCATTTGTTCCTATCTATTACACCCTTTGTGGGAGAAGTTTTCACCAAGCCGACTGGGAGATGGTCATCCCCCAACGTGGCAGACTGATATGCAGGTACTCTGGGACCTGCTGTGGTCTGAATGTACCTGTCCCTCCAAAAGTCATGTGTTAGAACCTAATACTTCATGTGATGGTGTTAAGCAGCGGGGTGTGTAGGGAACCAATTAAGTTATGAGCGCTTTACCCTCATGGATGGAGTTATCACCCTTATAAAAGAGATTGAAGGGAATACACTAGTCCCTTTTCGGTCTCCCACCATGTGAAGGCATAGCATTTGTCCCCTTTTAGTCTTTTGCCTCCTGCAATGTGAGGACACAATAACAGAGTGTCATTTTAAAACACAGAGCAAGATTTCACAAGACACCAAATGTGCTGTCTGCTTGATCTTAGACTTTCTACCCTCTAGCACTATGAGAAATAAATTATATTATTTATAAATTACCCAGTCTGAGGTATAATGTTATAGCAGCATAAATGGACCTTGGGAGTAGACTGGATAGAATCTCAGAAGTAGATTCTGGGAGGGGATCATGGAAGCCTGGATTCTACTTGATACTTGTAGAAGTTTGTAGACTATGAATTGTGAGGTCCTGGGTCACCTACTCTGTTGAATTTCTAGCAAAGCCCTTTCTCATCAAGTAATTCATTCCCGAGTTCTGCCCAATGAAAACAGGCAGAAGAATAACAGGACCATACCAGTGACGTGTTCCCCTTTCCTCATGTGTCCACTGCACTGATAGCTCTTGGGTACAACCCTGGCTGGGTGAAACTGGAATGTAATCTGTAGGAACGTCGCAGTTACATAAGGAGACTCAGGTTACAAGTGTAAGGACCTCAAGTGACAAGAATACTCTTAGCTTTGGCAAGGAAGGTGACAGCAAGTCAAAACAAAAATGAAGAATGGAGGAGAATGAGGAGAAATTTCTAGGTAGAGGGGGAAAAACTGACGGAGTACAAATTAAAATCATCCTCCTGCTGCAGCAGATAAAGAGATCACCTGCTCAAGAGAAAGGTAGGTTCCACTTGGAATCTCAAGGACGAGATTTAGAAAAGTGCAGAACCTTTCTCTTCTTTCCCATTCCAGAACCTTCAGAGCTGATGCTGTAACAGAAAAATTAATTACAAATATTCACTCATTAATCATTATGTGTCAGCCCCGAGAAAGGTGACCATGAACCAAACAAACAGATTGCCACTGTTCTTGCTGTTTACAGGTCTAACTGGAAACCAGGACAACAAGCATTGCTGAGGTTTATTTCCTGGGAAATCAAACTGCAGATGGATGCTATGCTAAGGGGAACTGGTGAAGAGACGAATGCAGAGGTCAAGTTAACACTCTTTCCCCTCTAGGCTACTGGATTATTTTAAAGCAGATTTCCCTGCTTTTTACCTGTTTCTAGTCCTATGCGGTGCCATCAAACTAACATTATTACCATGATTCTGCTCAGAAAACTGTCAATAGTTCCCCAGTGCCACCACCTAGGACTGGGGTATCTTAGCTAAGACTGAAGGCTCAACCTTCCATCCACCCCTGGTACCCACAGCTCTCTAATCCAGCTGTTCTCACAGAGTGCCCTGCACACAGCTCTTGTTCTTCACTGCCTCTTCTCTTTTGTCCCTGCTGCTCCCTTCATTCTGAGAGCTCTTCTTCAATGTCTCATTTTTACTTGAAGACTCAACTCACTTCCAGCAGGATGCGTTCTCTGATCCTAGTACCGGAAGCAATCTCCTTTTCTTCCATGGACCCACAGAACTCTGTTCACACCCAGGACACTTTTTACAGTCTTCTCACACTGTGGCTATTTTTATACTCTCTGCATCTCCCTGTTATAGTATAAATCTAGTAGGATCTTCCTCATTCTCTCTTAAACTCCATAATGCTGCATACTCCAAAACAAAATCTACACTCAACCCTCTACATCTGTGGGTTTGGCATTCATAGATTCAACCATGAATTGAAAATATTTGGGAAAAAATAGTGTGTCTATGTTAAACGTGTACTGACTTCTGCCTAGTCATTATTCCCCAAACCATCAAGTGTAACAACTATTTATAAACATTTACATTGTATGCAATATTGTAAATAATTTAAAGATATTTAACATATATGGAAGGCGGTACATAGGTTATACGCAAATGCTACAACGTTTTACATAAGGACTGGAGCATCTGCAGCTTTTGGTATCAGTGGTGGGTCCTGAAACCTCTTCCCCAAGGATACAGCAGACAACTGTATTTCACTAAAAGAAATGCTCTAGTGATGTTGAAGTTAATGTTTTAAACAGTAGTCACATTGAAATAGATGCTTGGAAGTTTCTTGTGGTCTTGAACAGCTTGGTTCTTATGTATGTATTACTTTCTGGATTCCCGGCACATAAATGCTCTAAATACATGTGCAACCCATCCATCCATCCATGCATGCATGCATCCATCCATCTATCCGTGCATCCATGCATCCATGCATCCATTTATCCATCCATGCATGCATCCATCCATCCATTCGTTATTCAGTATAACTTTACTGGACACCTACCTTGTGCAAGGCATGTGCAGCATGGCATGGTGCTGGCTCTGACTGTGCCATGTAAGCATCCCCTGTCTTTCCTCCAGACGTGGGGGATCAAAGAGTCACTACACAGTCCACTGCTGGGCAATAACAACTTGTAGTAGGAATGACCTTCATTTAAGTTGAGACCTACTGGGTCAGAATAAGCTTTGTCATGCACAGAACTGAGTAAGATGCGATTTTAACATTGACAGAGAAGGTTGGCTTTTCAGAGATTCATCTTTGCAGACTTCACTTTGGGAAGGACTCAGTCACACCCTCCACCCCTTTTTCTTTCTTGTCTGCCGTTAGCTTCCAGGTATTTATCCATGAAGACCTTAAGTTCATCTTTTCAGATGCAAACAAATGCCAATGAAGATTCAAAATCGACAGTTTCCGATCTAATAATGTTAACAAAAAAAGAGAGAAAGGCATTTAATTTCCAATTGCAATCAATATATAAAGGAGAAATGTGTATAAATACATATATCTTAGGAAGTAAACTGGATTTGGTTACATTTGTTTCTAAATCAAGCAACTTTTTAAAAGTTGCTGTGAATAAAATACTTCTTTTAAAACAAGGTTGCGAGATATAAATGCATCTGATCTTGACGCCTAGCTAAAGCATTAGATGTCTAAGCGTCCCCCCACAAAGCAGCCTTTATCCTTCTGTTGGGGGCGGGGGACACACAGGCCTGTCCCATTACCCATTTCTCTGCAGGAATCCCAGACCCTTGGGACCCGACCTTTCCGTGCCCCCTTCACTCGGGAGCCTCCGTATCCTTCCAGAGCTCTTTGCATCACTGCCTGCTGCAGGGAATTCTTTTCTTGGCAAGCACTTCTTCCCCCAGCCTGTGCCTTCCTCATCTCCCGCTCCCGTCTCCCACGGCCCATCTGCCCCTCCTCTCCTCCACCTCCCCGCCCCGCTCCCCTCGGCTCCCCTTTATTTCCCCTCCGCACCACCCTCGTGGCGCAGCTCTCCCTCCCCCTCTCCGCTGCGCCCGGCTGTATTTGGAGCTCCCGGAAGCCGCCGGCGACTCTCCCCAGGAGCGGCGTGACTGACACGACTCGCA